GACCTCCTAAGCAGATCAGCCGTAGCTGAGCTGATTGGCCTCTTTTTCAGTAAGCTGAATAGAGGGTCACATTGCATGAGCGAGATGCATTCGCCGTTCAGTTCATTGGGCGTTCGACAAATATTAGCCAGTTCTATAAGCCGAAATATTAGAGCCAACTATGCAGAGAAGAGTAAATACTTACGTCCGTAGCTAATGTGCATTCCTATAAGTAAGACCACAATAAAACAAATACTCTTCATGGCACCTGAATGCAATACTTAACACATAGATAAAACCAGGATGCATTTATATCATATACAATTCAAATGAGCACTATTCAAGACATTGAAAACCGTTTGTTTAATTATTAAAGTTAATGTTGAGTATTGCAATTTGTTTTTTGCCTGCACTAACCCACGGGAATCTTTCACTGTGTTCAACGGTATCACGAAGACAAACAGTTCAGACTACTACAGTATTTAGTATAATCCTTGACAACCTTGGTCTTTCCCAGTTAGGCAAATTCAAGCCAGCTCGTCTAGTTAATCTTGAGTTGGATAAATTATTGTCTAGCCGACGGTCCACTAATGAATAAGTAGGGATATTCGAAAAAGTTGGCCACCACAAGTAATTTACAGATTTTCATTGCCACTAACTGTTTGATTTTGTTCGGTTGCGTTTCACCCGATGCTAGAAAAAAACCGAGAACCAAAAGCACTTCCTCTGATAATGTTGGTTTCTGATCAACTTGAAATTTGCTGTTTAGCCCAAAAAAAATTGATATTCTTACAAGAGTTAGAACACAGTTGCCTTCTTCAGTAACAAGACGCTCATCGGCACTCGCGTCAAATCACCAGCTAAAGTAACTTCTTCAATTTTTTTTATTACTGGGTTTTTACTTGATAATTTTCCGCAATTTGCCTCATCGTTGCACTATTTTATTATTTGAAATGCCTGGATGAGTTTCCTGAAAATTTGCAATATTTGTTGCCTTATCAAGTGCAGTTGGCAGGTAATAATTGGCATTCAACGAAAGAATTAATAGAACATATTTGAAGTCATATTTACAATATTTCCCAATACGTGCTGTCTTGAGATACTTGTAAGTGTCAAAATTAATGGCGAGAAAATGCCTCAAAGTATTGAAAACCGGAAAAAATAAACTTAGCATCGATTTTTTAATGTTGTGGTTGGAAAACTGTGTGATACAGTTTTCATGCTCTTTCTGAGCATACGCTGACATAGTTTTGCCAATTAAGTCCCCATGTATATGAATTTGTAATTGGAATTTTTGCACAACTTGTATATTTTTCAAAAGTGTCGATCCTTAAAGCTTTTAACATTCATTTAAATATTTAATGTAGGTATTGGTTTAAAGAATTAAAGAGATTGCAAAAGTGTGAATTTAATGTTTAGAAGACTAGCACTTAATATAAGGATGCAGATTGCTTTATCTGAAGTGCCAACTTGTTTAGGTTTGGAAACCTAAAGAAATGTTTAAAATGTTCTAAAACTGCAAGTGTGCGATGTAGTTTAAAGATAATGCTAATTACTACTCGACGCGAGTCAAAATCAGAGTTTTATGTAATGTACTTAGGCACTATCTTATTAAATTGTTCAAAATGTTGTTCAGTTTGATGTAAACAATAATAAAGCTTTTATTTTTTTTTTTCAAAATCTTGTTTGAAAAAGTCGTTGAAAGTTAAAGTGAAAGTCACTTGCTTTGTTTTGTTGTGCGTTTTTGTTTTTAAATCAGCATCGGATGATAATTATCTGTTTGAGATTTCGACTTTTGTTTAAATTAAAAACAGTTTCGATTTTTTTCCATCTCTAGTCAATTCATTCTGTTATACTCATAATTTTTTTGTTTTGATATAATACTTGTGTCGTGTGACTCGCGTCCTTAGATGGGAGCTATAAAATCATTGTGGCCCTTAAGGCAAGTGCGGCAGTTTATCAGTGTAGTAATTTTTTGGATGATTCATGGATAGAAAATGGAGCATAGGGCGCCAGCTTGCAAAAAGTTAGTATGAATTGTCCCTAATTTCTAAATATTTTAGTTGAAACTGAGTGCTGTGTAGTTGTACGGAGTTTTTATGCATTATTTATGTTTCTCTCTATTTGGTTTGCTGGATTCAAATAAGTTTAGCTTTGGAGATAGTTCCTGCTGTATTAAACAATTTTTTTTCTTCCTTTCCAGGTGACAATACGCAGCTTTCGGTAAGCTTAGCATTACTTTTCCCCTGATTGCCATCTACATGTAGAACTTTTTGTCCCATATTCATCAACTGACTCGTGAGATGGATTTGGTATTAGTTCTTTCGTTGTAAATTTTTAAACTTAAAGAACCGCTTGAGCTATAGGAATCTCGGTTCCAGTATTCAATACAAGAAGCATCATCGTACTGATACTGTGTCTTTGGTTCCGATTAAACCATTGATTCCTTCACAAGAAATTTGTAACTTTGGGAATATTTTGGTCGCCTTTATATTTTTACATCATGCTCATCTGAAGCTTGTCATATTGCAACCATGGGTTCCAATTTTGTGCTTTTTGGTAAACAGTCAAGAGTTTTAGTCTTGCTTGTTTTTCGATTGTGAGAAATAGATGTTATTTCCAGAAATACTTTAGAAATGTTCTTTTTCTTTCCAATGCGATTCACACCTTTTCGATGATTTGAAGTTTTCTTGGATTTTGTATTAGTTCCCGTTCATTTTCGGTATCTATTCTTTTGGATTTTCGGAGCCTAAATCCACTTTGCCCCTGTTACTTTCAAATAGGTTCAGTGCAGTTTCAATTCTGGTCAATACTAAAGGTTTTTCGCAATATGGAAGACCCTTACTATTCGTTGTTGAAACAACGTTCTCTTCACACCTCTTTAGTATCTGAGAAGAATACACAACCAGAAATAGACGGATATAATGGAGGAACCTCAACTGCAGACAAATATTTCACAAACTTGAAGTGTGCAGATGATACAACGTTGATAGCAGCATCAAAGAGAAAATGACGGATTTTCTTGGCTTGGAAGAATAGGAGTGGATGAAAATCAATGAGTAAAACATCTGAGGTTAGATCATCAAATGGTCTTACTCCTATTTTGCTTTACTCAATAATTCGATGAAGAACTAATGTATTTAAACACCGATGGCTGAACACAAGAAGACGCACTAAAATTTTACAAAATATTTAACACTAATATAAAGCATTTTAATAAAGATGATTATCTATGGCAAACGCAAATATTCATTCCAAACAATTTTTCAGCTATTTGAATTTTTTTTGCATACTTTACTACTACACGTACTCACCTAATCTTTCAAAATTCACTGATCTATTTAATGCAACATATTGCGTTTTAGGCAAATTTGCCTTATCTGCTATATTTTTTATTAAAATGTTCGATGTTTTAAATGGCTCTAGACTATTGCATCTAGCGACCATTAGGAAGCACCAGCCAGCTAATAGACTTCAGCATTTGATTTGCTTTGAGCAAATGTTGAAAACGTATTAATATAATAACTTAATCTTCGAAAATAAAAATGTGTTTCCAAGTTTATGATCGATTAGGAAGAGAAAAAGTGTTTTAAAATTTTTTGTGCGATGCGCCGTTTTCAAGTTTAAAAATGTAAGTCGAACCGTTGCAGTATTTGAGTTGCTAAGTGCTCCAAAAATATTAATGTAAGCCGGATGATTTTAGTTTAAGAAAAGCGATTGCGTTTCCAATTTTGTGATCAATTAGAAAGGGAAAAGGCATCTTGACATTTTTACTACACGTATTCACCTAATTTTTCAAAATTCACTGATCTATTTAATGCAACATATTGCGTTTTAGGCAAATTTGCCGTATCTACTATATTTTTATTAAAATGTTCGATGTTTTAAATGGCTCTAGACTATTACATCTAGCGACCATTAGGAAGCACCAGCCAGCTAATAGAAAATTTTCATTTGTCAATCTAAAAAATCTAGAATCGCAATGGTTTCTTGTAACAGTGCAACTAGTTAGGAATGTATTAAAAATAAACGAACATTTTCTTTAAATTTTGACACCTTGTACTCCAGAAACCATTCACTTTCGGATAAGACAAATTTACCTGAAACGCATCATTTTTGCTTAAAATTAAATATGTCAGTAATTTTTTTCAGACTAGTTGTGGACCACCCTGTATAATTTTAGCGATGTCAAAAAATATTTAACTATTTATTTTTATATGCTAATATCTGATGGCGTGATTTTAAATATCACGGTGAAACAGTATAGTGTTGTAATGTAAAGAAAAACTGCTGTTTAATCAATGAATACGCGTTTATGATCATAGTAACAGTTTTCTATGCTCTAAGGTTACTAACAATCCATGGCACATAGTTGGCCACCTTTGTATAAACTCCTGGCCAATTTTGCATCCCGCAAGGAGACGGTCCAAACGATACCACTCCAACCGAGTACCAGTTAACATCTCCTTCGGCTGTAGCTTCAACTCCCATCAGCGGTCCGCCACTATCACCTCTGCAAGAATCCTTTCCTTTCTTACCTCCAGCGCACAGTTGATTAGCTCCTAATCGCACATTGGCTTGACTGTACGTTTTAGAGCACTTTTCTTCGGTGTTAACTGGAACCTAGTTAATCAAGCGAATTGAATTAAGAGTGTGATAGAAGGAAATTGGAAGGTGATAGAATACACACCTCTAATTTCAGCTTAATGTTGCTTTCGGAAGAATTCTCAGTTTTGCCCCATCCAGCCACAACAAGGTTCTTATTTACGTAAGATTTGCTTAAAAGTCTTGGTGCCTTGGGGAGGCAAATCGGTCTAACAAAGTCTGAAAATAAGACGTGAATCGGTGCTTTATTTTAAACATGAATGTTTCTTACCAGAATATTGCACATTTCTTATTAAGCGCAATAAAGCGATGTCGTTATACTGGTTTATGTCGTATGGATCGTAATTTTCATGGGCGATTGTTTGCTCAACAGCCACATTTACGGCTGGAGGAGCACACTGCCTTTTTGCTCCTGCTGCTTCAATGCAGTCTTCTTCAGTGTCCGTATTGTATTCTCCTAGACGGACACTAACACTGAAAATCTATTGTAAGTAACGTTCCTTGTTTTATATGCAGAATTTTACATTTTCCAGCTCTTCGGCAAATCTTTTCCTTTGAGACAATGAGCGGCAGTTAGAATGTATCGGCTATTGATCAATACTCCTCCACAATAGAATCCTTTGTTTCCATTAGCTGTAGACCAATCGCGCATAAGAATCCAACGTTATTTGCTGCATAAAACTTACGTCTTTCGTATTCCACTAGTACCATCCAAGGGAATTCGTCTAGATCGGCTTTTTCTCCCCCATAAATTCTATTTTGAGTGCCAGTGCCACAGATGTCCGTGCCTGGCAGCAGATTTGATACGATTGCTTCACCTGAAAGTATTGTTGAAATATTGCTTTTATTGAGTGAGTTAAATTTGATTATCAAAACTAGAAATTGAAACGTTTAGTTTTCCCCCAAAACCATCCAGAATATTTGAATTTTATGTTTGTTTATTTTCAAATTAGTGTAATTTAATGTGGTGGAAATCTAAAGTAGTTTTTTAGTAGAAATTCACCTTTTTCACTTGGCACTCAGTAAGAATTTGACACTTTTCTTAGCCAGTCACGATAATAAAACCTTTTTTCCAACGTTTTTCTGGTAATAAAAATGGGCAAGTCTAGGTATGTTTTGACCGTTTTCTGAGCATGGAAATGAGAATCTTTTTTGGGTTTCTAATTTTTGGCCATTTTATATTTAGTTAAAAATCATGATGATGCCCTGTAGTGAAAATAGACATGTTTTACATACTTTTTGGCCAATTTTAGAAGAATATTTCTCTCG